TCACTGAGGTGCCGTTCACACTGAATGCGCAAGAGCAAGTGTCCATTCGTCGTTGGACACTGGTCGACTGGGAGCCGAAGGATCTCTTTGCTCGGTCGACTGCCGCTGACTGGCATCGCAACTGTCGCCACATCGTCATCGGGGCGACTGTTTGGACTGAGGCAACTGCCATCCAGCTGGGAGAGTTCATCACTGATGAGGACCAGCCCACTGGCACATGGAGGCCAGGATTCACTGGTGGTGACAAGGCACAGGCCACTGCTCTGACCACTGTGGTCACTGGCCTGAGGCGAGCCATTGGGACTGAGCACCAAGTCTCAATCACTGTCTCGCCAGCCGAGTGAGAGACTGCAGTGAACTGCAGATAGTCGATGGGGGTATCCACTCATGCCATGTCACTGACATTCGACTGGCCTCTGAGCTGGGGACCCTTTCCGACTGAAGAAGATGAGTGACTGCAGAGTCACTGAAGCTCAAAGCCCTTGAAACTGGCTTGGTCGCAAAGTAAGCTGCAACTGCCGACAGCTCACTGGTCTTGGTGACTGTCTTGCGAGCTGCAAAGCTGAAGCAAGACCTAGCAGCACTGTACAGGCCTGCTGCTGATACTGTTCGCAATTTGAAAGCAAAAGCACTGGATGAGCCTGATTCGTTACTGCTGCTTTGGATGAGTTTACTGCAATATGTGATGGTATTGATTTGTCAGTATACTGCTACTAAGTTTCTCGCAATGGCCGAGACGACTGATGTGAGTCGAACACTGAAGTGTTGACTCAAGGGACTGTGTTAGAATACACTGTTCCCTCTAGAGCCCTGGCAGTATCCACTGCCTGATCTGACCAAAGCTGTCGTCACTGCTTTGGCTCAAGGTTCAAGTGCTGAAACAAGTGTGACTGATGAATTGCTCACTGCTGTGAATGTTGTGATACCTGAAAGTGTATCCCAAACTGCTCCATTGAACTTTTCAGGTGGGGTTGTAGGGGGGGGGGGGGGGGGGGGGGGGGGGGTCCGTCGCAAAATCTGGTACGGGGGTTTGTTCCAAACGCTTCTTTGCAGGAAGCCGAGCGAATAAGCCCCAAAACCCTATTCTAGTCATTTTGGCCCCTATAGTACTTCGGAAGGCATGCGCATAGATGCGAAATCGCTGTTCCCCTTCGCCCTCCTTGGCTTCCCTCGTCCGCAGAACGGTAGGGTTCCAGAGGCCCTCCGTTCCCACAAGCCTAAACCCTAAACCCTCAACTGAGGCTGCATCACTCCTCCAGGTCAGTGCCGAAAGGTCGCACTACCACTACGCCTTCTATGTCCTGCTGGAGAATAACCACCATCGCAGCAGTGATGCCTACGTACAAATGTTGGATCGGCTGTGCAGGTTCAGTTCCAAGAGCCAGCTCAAGAATGGTCCAGAGGGCGAAGTGAGGATCGTAGGCGACCACGAAGCCATCCATGAACGTGTGCCGAGCTGCGCGAACATGACGTACGGAACTCCGATGACCCTGGCGGACCTGGGCTACAGTGATGTCGTGGACAAGCTTCCGAAGGAAGGGTCCAGCACTTGCACTCTCAAGTTTCTGGGGCCGGAGCTCCAGCACAACGTCGCCACTCGGCTCTCTCAAGGAAGCAGAGCGGAAGACAATAAAAATAGTAATAGTAGTAAGAATAATGGTAATAGTCCGAGGAATACTTACTGAGAGCAGGATGAGGAAGTTTGAGACCGTGGTGCATGCGCTCCGTGTGCACCGCCGCCCTGAGTCTTCGGGCTTCGGATCTTGGTTTGTGGGCATCATTGTCCGGCCCAGGTGAAGATCTGGATGAACAAAGTGGGGTTGCTGTGCAAGCTCGCGAGCGAACATCCCAATGCCGTCACGACTTTGTTGGATGCGAACAGCAACGGGAACCAGCTGAGCACCTCGCCTTTGTTAGGCGCGTTGCAGATTCGCCGTCCGTGTGATCTACGTGCATACCTAACTGGCAGATTGTGGCAGCTTGCATCACTATATCACACTTGACATTTTCAATTCGCCCCGTCATCGTAGACCCGAAGCCCTACGTACACCCTGAACATCCCTAGGCCCGACACCAAAAGGTTTGAACAAACAGCCTTGGCCCTGGGACCGTACACCCTAGATCCTTTCCTGCTGCACCTGCCCGCGCCAAGCCTGCCCATCCTCCTTCTCAGCAGCACATTTAGACATCGACCGTTAAACTGGCGCTGCATGGGGTCGGTTTAGGGGTTTGGGGTTTAGGGTATTTAGGGTATTTAGGGTTTAGGGTTTAGTTTCAGCTTTCGCAATCCTCTTCTCAAGTAGGTTGGGCCACGGAAACCGCCTGGCGTGAGCTGCAAGATGGGCGTTTTGGGACACGGCAATACAAGCCCCATACGAAAAGGAGGTTCTCGTGGCATGGTGTCTTTGGAAGACCTTCGGGGTGTTTGTATGCTTGTATGCTGTCAATAGCCAACTCTCCCCTGCCCCAACCTTCTTGTTCTTGCCCTTAAGACCCCTTGGAAAATCAGATGGTGCAATCATAAGGGGATTTACGAAAGTAGGGGAGATCCCCAAACAGTAGGATCCCCTTATAACAAGGACCCCAAACAGGTGGTACAATCATAATACTTTCTTCTTCTTGCCCTTACGACCCTTATTTCAAAATCAGGTGGTACAACCATAAACACCGTACTGGCCCTTCGGGAAATCAGGCGGTGCAACCATAAGAACTTCTTCTTCTTCTTGCCCTTCAGGCCCTCATTGGCATCAGGTGCTTAATGACCCTAAACCCTAAACCCTAAACCCTAAACCCTAAACCCTAAACCCTAAATGCCCTTTGGACAACCAGGTGGTACAACCACAAGAACTGCACGGGGGATGTGCGGATCTTCGCCAAGTACCTGGCGATTCGGGGCCGCGACTGCCCTCGCTTGCTGCAGGCCTGGGAGGCCGAGGTTGCCAAGCTCCGTGCCTTTTGCGGCAATTCAACAGGGTTTAGGGGTTTAGGGGTTTAGGGGTTTAGGGTTTAGGGTTTAGGGTTTAGGGTTTAGGGTGCTTGGAAAGAGTTTGCTTTCTTATGCCCTAGCTCTGCTTTTTTCGTGCATTTCTTTGATCGTCCTACGTCTTCAGAAGGTGCACACGTTGTAGTGCCACTTTGCAGTACAGTGCACGCCACCTCGCCAAGGTCAGCTTGGTCCCGGAGATTGCCCATGCTTCGACGAGGAATGGATCCTTAGCAAGATTCTCAACCAACGCCCCGAGCTCTTCCAGTTGCAGGGTGATCCCACTTGATCCCATGTGAGAGGCTCGCTCATCAGTCGATGGAAAGGCTCTGTGTTTCGACTTCATCTGCGTCCGCCTTGGGCAATACTGAGGATGCTCCTCTTGCAGAGTTGAACTATTGTGCGATAATTGGCAGTCCGGTAGAATAGCCACGTAGTCTTCGCCGAAAATGCAGCTTGGGGACCTGTGCGATTTGCAGTTTCTCCTGCAGCATAGTGCGGAGGCAGCAACTTTTAATTTGCAGGCGCTGGTTGTCCAGGATTCCTGCGCTTAGTGGCCAGATCCTGTGTCAGTCTTGCGCGCTTTGCTGGAGTTTTCGCCCTCAGAAGCAGGTGCCGCCTCATTGAATTTCACACTGCCCTCACCAGTAGGAGTGTTGTGTGTGTTCCAGTCTGGGCGCCGCCCTCAGAAGTAGGCGTGGTGGATCGCTGAAGACATTCGCGCAGGTCTTGCTCTTACTCTTATTCTCATTTTTACTCTTTTTCCTATTCTTATTCTGATTCTTGTTCTTTTCTGAGCAACTTGTTGTACAAGCCACCGAGACCTTGAAGACTTGCTGAGCTTTAGCAGCACGGGAGGGTCAGATTCTGGCCATGGTCTCCAAGCCGCTCACGAACCCAGGTGAGAAAAAGACCCTCTGGCTCTCATTCGGGCATGAGGGAATTCGGGCCCTGTATATACTCTTAAAGGGATTAAACAGGGTACCTCATTCCTTCATTCCCGACTAAGAACCAGCGAGAAAAGAGAGAGAGAGAGAGAGTTGGATTGTTGGCTTTTCTTGACCACTCAGCCCAATGTAACAAGTCGTTTGTGTGCGAGGTCACGACGTACACAGTCGAATGCCTGTGGCGTAGAACCTCCTCTTGTGTATGATATATCGCAAGATGTCTAACAGCTAAACTCCTGGACCAACTTCACCTCTTCTCCTTCCATCTCCGGAGCAAGAAAAGCGATCTGGTGTGAACCAGCTGAGGAGAGGGCGTCACTTCCTAAAGCGCTGTGTTTTGGGGCTACGGCACCTACGTGTCGGACATGGTACAGAATGACTTCAAAAATGCATGCTCATGAACAGCGGGTACTGCGTGTCTGGCATGTTGGTGCAGTGTGAATCCTGACTGTGGCGCGGGACCACTGCACCAAGCCACATGGTCAGTTTTCAAAATCATGGTCCTTTTTTAGGTGCCATAAATACTGGGGGGCCACCTCACAACAAGGACCCCAAAAAGACCCCAAAAAGGGACCATAATTTTAAAAACCCCCAAAAAAGGGATCATAATTAAGAGACATCGCCATAGGGCGCCGTGGAAGAGTGAGTCTTTCTTTGCTCAGCCTGCATGCCACTCCTCATGCCGCAGGGGCAGGCCCGAGAGGAACCAGATTTAGGGTTTAGGGTTTAGGGTTTAGGGTTTAGGGTTCAGGGTGTATACGGTTCAGGGTTGGCTTTTAGGGTGCAGCTGTTAAAGGGTTCAGGGTCAGAGTTTAGGGTTTATAAACTCAACCCTGAACCCTACACCCTAAACCCTACAACCTCAAAAGAGACTGTATAGGGTAATGGGGCTCATTGTTTAAATCGCGTCCGGCCAGGTGGCGCGATACAGGGTCGCACGTCCCGCAGCACTCCCCTCCTCCTGATCGGGTTTAGAGTTTAGGGTTTAAGGTTTAGGGTTTAGGGTTTAGGCCCTGCCCCTAAACCCTAAACCCTAAAACGTGACCAATTTAGCGAAAGCCTGACTTGCCATGTGCTTCCTACACGGTGCAGCACAGAATCTGTGCCCCGTGGCAATCTTGCTGATTGTGCTTGGGCCCGGCCTGTGCAAAGGTTCGCACTGCGACGTAGACATCGACAGCTTCTCCACAGTCCAAACTCAGATAGTGCCCAAGCCCACACAAAGCTTCCAGAATGGTACTGTCGTCTGCTTTGGGAACGCTTGCCGAAGTCCTCACACCACGCCAGCATACGACTGGAAGAAAGACTGGCAGAACTACCTGGTGTCAGGAACTGCTGGCAAAGTGCCAGGTCCTTTGGACCATTGCTGCCCGGCCTGCGATAGTATCCTGACAAAGGGCTGCAGCAACTCACGCAAGGAGGAGCACATTCTTCTGAGCCACATATTGCCATTCATGCAGCAACAGGAAACGCCTCCAGAGCCTCCAGTCTTCGTGGAGCTCGGTGGTTTTGATGGGTGGTGGGAGACCAACACGCACTTCCTTGAGGGCTGCTTGGGCTGGAAGGGCCTAATGATTGAAGGGAGCCCCGCCAACTTCGAGATCCTTCAGAGAAATCGCCCCAACACGGTCAAGATCGGCAGCGCAATATGCAATGAAACCAGCACCGTGACCTTTGCATCTGATGGCCGTTCAGGGGGGAATGTTGCCACTGGCAAGAATGGAGTTTCCGTGCCATGCGCCCCCCTCCAGTCGTTCCTCGACTTGCTTGACGTCCGGCATGTCAGCTTCTTCAGCCTTGATGTCGAAGGATATGAGCTGAATGTGTTGAAGTCGATCGACTGGACCAAAGCGTCAATTGCAACGATGGTGGTGGAAGAGCTGCAGTGGCACAAGCAGAAGAACGAGGAGGTCCGACAGCTTCTTCAGGAAGATGCAGGCTTCGACTTTTTGGGTGCCACTTGCTGGAAGGAGGTGGCTTGTGATTCATTCTGGATCAACAAGAAGTTCGTTGATGTCACGGCTGCAAAGCAGCACCTCCTGACGAACCCGTTTCCCGAGGGCAAGTATGAAATCAATGGGTGCAAGCCGACGAGAGCATGAACCATGGAAGACTTCTCATCACTCGAGGTCGAAAGGCATGGGTACAAGATGGCACAGGCATTTAGCGCCTTGAGTTGGGCCTTCATATGTCACCTTGCCAAGGGCAGCATTTCTGGAGCCTCGTTTTGGATGGTCTTCTCTTTGGGGTGGCGGCAGGTCATTTACCTTTTGGGAGCGCCCACCCCCCCCACCCCCACCCAGACCCAGAACTTCTGGGTTTGATTTGAACCAACCCCCCACCCCCCCCCCCCCCCCCCCCAACCCCCCCACCCCCCCACCTCCCCCAGCCCCCCCCGCCATGGAGCCCGCCGATTCATTGGGCTTGCTCGAGGCTCTCGAAGGAATGTGGAGGATCGGTTCTTTTGGGGGCAGAAGTCTCTCATAAGATTGCATATTGACATGATATGGCTGTCTCTGCATGGCCTTGAATCCGTGCTTCTGGGAACATAAGATTCTCGCACGGGACTCTCTGTGACATTGTGCCCTAAACCCTGAACCCCTATACCCTAAACCCTAAACCCTAAACCCCCTATACCTTAAACCCGTAAACCCTAAGCCCAAAGGAGTGGCTAGTTCTCCTGGGTGAACACTGCCCGCAACATCTGTGGCTTCCGAACATCTGCGAAAAGCTTTGATAAGATATCTTATGGGGAAGGCTGGGAGTTGAGTTTAGGGTTTGGGGTTTGGGGTTTGGGGTTCAGGGTTTCGGGTTTAGGGTTTAGGGCTTAGGGTGAATGCACGGCCATGGGTTTTTTGTGGTGGACAGAGTGTGGCTCTCATATATGATGACTACACATGTTGTCTGCACGGGACAAAGATGCCACGGGCAAAGAGTGCAGATCTGGGGCATCTGTGCAGATCTGCCGGGAACTTCGAGGCGACCTTAAACCCTTAACCCTAAAACATTCGTAATCATTTGTGTCGCATATTGGGACAATTCGGATGGAAGGTTTGATCTGCCGAAGACATCGAGGTTTGAAAGATTATACGGAACTCGGCTCATCCTCAACTCGAGTTAAGACTTCTCGAGCCACAACTGATTATACATTGATGATCATTATTTTTTCGTACGATCACGTTGTCTCTTAATATGTTCGATGATAAATGGATTCTTTCTCATCTCATATATACGGTTTTCTTCATAGACTATCATTATATATGTATACATGTATAGGCATATCGATTTCGCACTCAGATTCGGAAGATATACGAATATCCTAAACTAAAGCGAAGACCCCAAACAGTAAGATGGTAGACAATTTAGGGTTTAGGGTTTAGGGACTTTAGGGATTCAGAAAGTTTGGGCTTGGAAACATGAAGTTTTTAGACACAGGGAAAACGGTGTGAAGCAACAAGGCAACGAAGAGCAGCGGCAGAGTGTGACCGCACATCAGGAAAAACTTTGGCCTGTGACAGTCAAAGGCAATGGTGTGCTCAAGCTTGAAACCGCAGGACTCGCTTCTGCCACACTTGTCCAAAACTAGGGTTTAGGGTTTAGGGTTTAGGGTTTAGGGTTTAGGGTTTAGGGTTTAGGGTTTAGGGAGGGTGTCTTTTTTCTCCTTCTGCTATAGCAAAGCACCCTTGAAACGGACACCCACAACGGGGACCCCAAATTTTGGGAAACCTCCACATGCCAGACAACAGCTAAGCTGTGCTCAAACTTGACAACAAAAAGCACTTGCTTTTGTCAATCCATTTGTTTTGTTTCTTCCATAAGAAATGTCACGGTCTCGTCCGCTTCTACCGGTTTTGCTGTCAGGGTCTCGTCCGCTTCTACTGTTTTGGGCTGTCACGGTCTCGTCCGCTTCTACTGTTGTTGGCCGTCACGGCCTTGTCCGGTTCTACTGTTTTGGGCTGTCGCGGTCTCGTCCGCTTCTACTGTTTTTGGCCGTCACGGTCTCGTCCGCTTCTACTGTTTTTGGCCGTCACGGTCTCGTCCGCTTCTGTTGTTTTTGGCCGTCACGGTCTCGTCCGCTTCTACTGCTTTTGGCCGTCCGCTTCTGCTGTTTTTGGCCATCACGGTCTCGTCCGCTTCTATTGTTCTTGGCTGTCACGGTCTCGTCGGCTTTTAGTGTTGTTGGCCGTCGCAGCCTCGTCCGCTTCTACCATTTTTGGCCGTCACTGTCTCGGCCGCTTCTATTGTTTTTGGTTGACACGGTCTCGTCCGTTTCTATTTTTTTTGACCGTCACGGTCTCGTCCGCTTCTATTGTTGTTGACCGTCACGGGCTCGTCCGCTTCTACTATTTTTGGCCGTCACGGTCTCGTCCGCTTCTATTATTGTTCGTTGCGACGGTCTCGCCCGTTTCTTTTGCTTTTGGCTGTCACCGTATCGTCCGCCTCCTTCTTTTTTGGTCGTCACGGGCTCGTCTGTTTCCACTGTTTTTGGTCGTCACGGTCTCGTCCGCTTCTATTGTTTTTGGCCGTCACGGTCTCGTTTGTTTCTATTGTTGTTGGTTGTCATGGTCTCGTGCGCTTTTATCATGTTTGGTTGTGATGGTCTCGTTTGCTTCTATTGTTTTTGGTTGCGCTCGTCTCGTTTCTATTGTTTTCGGTTGTCGCGG